GGGCCAAGGCGAGGTCACCGAGCAGCTGGCGCACCTGGTGCGGGCCCTTTGGACCCTAGAGTACACCCCGCAGCACAGCCGCGACTTCAAGGTGAGCCCCCCCCCCGCCCCGATCTGCCCCGCCCGAGAGCTTCCCGTCCGTCCTGGATCTCGCCAGTTGCCTCGGATGCGCCCGGAGACGCCCGGGCCTTGGGCGTGGGGATGCTGGCTAGCCCTGACTATATTGGAGGAGGCGCCTTCTCTCCGTTCCCGTGCCCATCCGTGCATCCATGCATGCACGCATGCATGCGTGGTTCCGTGCATCTGTGCATGCACGCGTGGCTCCATCCACGCAGCCATTCCTCCCTCCCTCCCTCTTCCTCTCCCTCCCTCCCCCTCGATTATTGAGCGTCTGTTTGCATCCTTTCCCCCCAGTCCGCGGATAAGCATCTGGGAGGGGTGTGGCAGAGAGCAAGACACCCTGCCTGCGTGGAACTTGCTGTCGGGATCTGGGTTCAAATCCTGGGTTCTGTTCCTTAGTTAGCGGTGGAACCCAGGGCAAGTTTACTCAGCCTCCCAGTGTCCTTTACTCCATCTGCTACCTTCTTCATAGCAAACAAGTGGATATGTTAAAAGTTGCCTGGTTTTGACTGTTTTCAGCTTTGCTGATGGACACTTTGTTTTAGGGTCCAATCTGATAGGCAAAGCACCTCTCTAATAGCGCCTGGTACAATGAGCATTTATTGCCATTTTACTTTTTTCTTTATTTAGCACTTGAGGAAAGGGAGCAGGTATACCAGCAGTACTTTAAAGCAAGCAAAGCCTGCTGATGGCACTCATGTGCCGCTGGCTGGCCTCTTTAAATTGAAGAATGGCTGCATTGGTGTAGCTGCAAGGGTTTGAGAGGGTGAGGTTGGAGGTGGGGCCTAGATGGATGAAGAGCCTTTTGGCTGCACCACGGAATTTAGGCCAGAAACAAAAAGCGGAGACTGCACAGGTGAGATGTGGATGTGGTATTAGAATAAAATCACATGGTGAGAAATCACTTCCTTTCTGGTCCTTTTCCATCCTGATCATGCCCAGTAGAATCTCAGCCTGATATTCTCCTCCTCCTAGCACTTCTTGCTCATCCTTACACCCCCATTTATAAACAAAGAGAAAGCAGCCTTCCTGGGTAGAGAGGGCTTGGGTAGGCAACAGTAACTAAATTTAATAAGCTCTGTGCTTATTGAGTTTGTTTCTTCATTTGTCTTCTATTTATAGCAAGTGGTACTGGCCTTCCATTGGTGTTCTCAAGTTTCTTTGTAGAATACATTTATTGAACAGATGATTGGATTGCAGGATCAGTGGTCTAGCAGAGGAATGCAAGTGCTCTAGTTCCTCTTCGCTCTGAGGGATACTGCCAGTGAACAGCACCCCCTCCTTGGAATAGTTTTTTCCTTGTATTTTGTGTACTTAAGAAGAAAGCAAATGGCAGCTGTTTTATCCTGAAAGTTGAATGGAAATTCTGTGTGTGTGTATGTATCAGTGTATGTATGTGTGTGTGTGTGTGTGTGTGTGTGTGTGTTTGTACTCAGGGTCTGGGCAATGTGCCTTAGCTTTTTTGCTTAAGGCTGGTGCTCTACCACTTGAGCCATGGCTTCACTTTTTTTGTGGTTAATTGGCGATAAGAATCTCACTGAGTTTCCTGGTTGGGCTGGCTTTGAACCTTGATCCTCAAATCTCAGCCTACTGAGTAATTAGGATTACAGATATGAGCCACAAGTGCTCAGCTGGACTAAAATTCCTGACTGAAATAAGGACTGGAGAAAAGGAGACTCAGGTCAGAGATCACAAAGTAAGAAAATAAAAGAGTGGCAACTTGCTGGTTATGAAAGTCTTCTTCTGTTCCCCCTTCTCCCCCCCCCCCTTCTCCTCCCCGCCTTCTTTACTATGGTTGAGAGAAGCCACAGCAGTTGCAAACTTTTCAAGGCCAAAGCTCTGTTAAGTTCAGTTTTCTACTCTTTCACAATGTGAAAGGCAGTTTGTACAGCATCTTAATATAGTCACAAGATGGTGTTCATGTTTCAAGCCATTAAACTGTGGGCAGAAATGGGTTTATAAATTCTACAGGGCAGGGCTGATTGATAGGCATGTTTGGCAAAGTTGAATAGATTCTTAGAGGTCAATTGCATTGCTTTTTATGACGGGTCCACATTTTTGTCCATTAAGCCATGAACAAAAATGGGTCAATGTGTTTTAGAAGTGCAGATACTTTATAGTTATACTTTGGCAAAGTTGAAACAATTCTTAGAGGCCTTGTTTCTTAATATAATCTTCTGAGCCTTTAGTAGTTGTCACCAACATCCATCCATCCATCCATCCATCCATCCATCCATCCATCCATCCATCCATCCATCCATCCATCTCTGTGGGTTAGGAATGTAGTCACACAAGAGAAAGACTCTGAGACTGACTGACCGCTAGGAGTGTGGAGTTAGCTTGAACAGTGAGTGACAGATGGGTGGTCCTGTACAATCCGTCCCTTGCAGTTTCTGCTCTCTTGTTCTCCTGCTTGTCACCTCATGGTTGCCTGCTGATGGCATCTGAGGCACCTTGCATTCTACCCAGGAGGGCAGATGTCATTAGGGACATAAAGTACTCCCAGAGGCTCTGAGCAGGCCCTGCTTTCATCCATGACAACTGGCTGCCACTGAGGTAGGAAGGCAGTGTTTCAGGTTCCTACCTTAGTAGAGGGCATAAGTAAAGGAGGGTCTGGCCTGTTATGCATACCACTGAAGTGCCTCCCCTGCCTTGTGCCAGGCACTGGGTCTTGGGGAAGACACTGTAACCGCTGTGAACAGTGGTGTCTAGGAGGACTTGGCACGTTCCCTTAGACAGTGCATATTGAACTTTATGTGCACACAACTCACATTCATAATTCACATGGGGATCTTGTTACAAAGCAGATTTGGATTTAGAAGAGCTGGAGTGGGGCCTCCGTGTCTGCATTTCTAGCAAGTTCCCTGGGTGATGTGCTGCTGGTCCAAGAACCATACTTTGAACATCAGAGAGAGGAAATGCTTGAGTAGCACTCTGAGGGATGAATAGGAGTCTGCTAGGCTGAGGAGTGATGGGGTGATGTGTGAAAGATATTTTGGGGAGACAGTGAGACACTGAGTGGCTGGCTATGCATGGAGAGCTGTGGGGTACCGAGCACCTGGGGGAGGGGAAAGCTTTGGAGGCTGCTTGGACTTTGTCCTCTGGAACTTAAGAACCGAGAGCTGAATTCTAAGTAGGAAGAGTGGTAGGATTTTTTTGCTTTTCTTTTTTTTCAGCCCATTAGATAAGCCTAATGGCATTGCGAAGGACTGTGTGTGTGTGTGTGCGCGTGCGTGCGTGTGTGTGTATTTAATTTACAAAAGTGTTTTAAATTGGATGGATGTTATACTGAGCATAAAGAAGGTTAATGGTGGACCTGAAGCCTACCATGCCTTCTGGTGGCAGATCTGTATTCATAATTTATACCCGTACCCCTCACATTCAGCCTCAGAGTCCTGCTCAGTTCACAGCTCCAGGCAGCTACCCTTGTTGCTGGCGTTGACAGAGGATAGAAAGTCGATTGGCCATCTGGAGGGCTAGAAAGCACTCTCTCTGGTTTGATCATGTTAAGACTTAGCTACCAGTACTTCTCCACAGAAGCTTTGCAATTAGGTTCCTTCTTGATGTCTGATCACGGTGATATGGACCAGGCTGTTAAAGTTGGGTTTTCACTTCCCAGAAATGCAATGAGATGAGTGCCCCAAGTGTGAGTGACCACCCATATCCTTTCTCTTTTATGCAGCTATTTCCTGTTGTCTTAGAGCCTGGATTCTCAGCCAGGGTACTTTTGTACCTCTCCACCCACTCCCCCCTGACCCCTAGGACATTTGTCTGTCTGGAGGCAGATGCTGTCACAGCTGAGGTGGGGGATGCTCCTGGCATCTAGTACGTAGGTTCTGGGGTGCACCTTCATGTCACTCCACGTGCAGGACAGGAAAGGACTCAGGCTGAGAAGGTGCTGGTCGAATGTTGGAGTCCTCCACAGGGCAGGCCTGCTGGCCCAGCTGCTAGCTGTCATTACCTTGTCATTTGACCTCTTTGGGTATTCTCAGCAGCACTCAGGTAAAACTTGGACTTGACCCTTGTATCAGCCACTTTTTTGGTAAAACAGTGAAAATCAAATCATTTCGGTATTTGAGAGTCATCATGCTTGTTTAAGGGGACATCCACTTACTGCTTTAACTTGCACGGGAGTGTGGGCGCTCAAGCCCTTTGATTTTTAGTACTCAGTTAGTTGCCCCTTTGCAGAAAGTAAAAGAATGGGCAGGGGGGCTGGGAAGGTGGCTCAGTGGTAGAGCGCTTGCCTTGCATGCCTGAGGCCCTGGGTTCGATTCCTCAGCACCACATAAGCAGAAAAAGCCGGAAGTGGCACTATGGCTCAGCCTTAAGCTGAAGAGCCAAGGGACAGCACCCAGGCCCAGAGTTCAGGCCCCCACAACCGGCAAAAAAAAAAAAAAAAAAAATGGGCAGGCATCTTTCAAGCAAGAAAGGCAAGTTTTATAGCCATTGTTTGTACATCATGCTCCCCCCAAACAGCTAGATTGGAGTGGTCTACAGACAAAAGAACTGTGGTGCCTCCATCCAAGTTTGCAGGGAAATGAAAATTAACGGACGAGCCGGGCACAGGTGGCTCATGCCTGTCATCCTAGCTACTCAGGCGGCTGAGATCTGAGGATCACAGTTCAAGCCAGCCTGGGCAGGAAAGTCTGTGAGACTCTATCTCCAGTAAACCACCAGAAAACCAGAAGAGGCTCTGTGGCTGAAGTGGTAGAGCGCTCGCCTTGAGCTGAAGAGCTGAGGGATAACTATCCATCCAAGAGTTCAAGCCCTATGATCAACCCCCCCCCCAAAAAAAAAAAAAGTAACAGATGAGTAGAATTTTGTCTCCCATATATTTTTCCCCCCGGTATTGTTACTTTATTTCTGTGATGGCTTCAAGTACAGAAGAATAACAAATATTAGTTGTGAAGAATAGCTCATGATGAAAGATTCTGCTCGTTCAGTCTCACCCCCGCTTGTGCTTGGGGACTG